TTTCTGTGTACCAAGTTAATCTGACCGTAATGAGTTTTTCGAGTACTTTACCCAAAATTGGTAACAGTGAAATAGGTCTAGAGTCAGCTGATCCCTGCTTGGGTATGGGGATGACTCTTGCCTGTTTCCAGGCCCTAGGAAAAATGGCATGTCGTAAACAGTTATTAAATAAATTTATAAAATGATGTGGAATCAGGTTCCAAAGATTGATGGCAACACGATAAGTAGACAGTCTTTAAGTCAAAGTCAGTGTTAGCAGTAGATTAGTTGGCTTGTGATCTGATTGATCTTTTTTGCAAGTCTTTTAAAGGCAGAGAATATCTCTTGGTTGGTCCAGATGTTTGAGAGGTGGCACGGCCAAGCTATGTTCAATTCCTGCAAGAGCAGCCGCAGTTCAGTTCTTTCTATTTCGGTCATCACACAATCAAAAATGTAGTGTTGAGATCCATCTGCAATCATACAGGTTGGGCACTGATCTGATGTTCTGTTTAAAAATCTGGCAAGGTACGTAGCAAATTTTCCGTGATTTGTAAATAATTGAGTTGTGTAGTAATCGGGAGTAAACCATTTTATTTTAAAGAAGCTTTTTAGGTCGGGGACACACAGACACACAGACATACATTCATTTTTATATATATAGATTATATTACTGTATATACATGGACAAAATTGATTTGAATTAGCACAGGTAAAAATTAGCGAGTGTCTTGTATTTTAAAATTGTCCAACTTTTTCAATCAGAACAGTATAGTGGACTGATGATGTATTAATTTAAGAAAGCATTATTTCATTTGTGAGACTTTATTATTTAGGTAGGAAATTTTGTATTTTGGTTTTCTTGTAATATTATTTAATATTTTTCCTCTGTCTCAAATGAACAGATTTAATACAATAAACATGTATTAAATCTTTCATCTATGGATATAAGTTTAAGTAACAATAAAAGCATAACAAAGCAATAAAGCATAACAAAGCAATAAAGCAAAATAACCATAAAGCAAATAATCAAAATTCTCACTTGTAGATAATTTTTCGTAGAAGATTTCGTAAGTAAAATCTTTATTTTTAAGGAAATACATTTCTAATTTGCCAAAGTGTCTAATTAATAGTTGAAGAAATTTTCAATTTTAATTTTTCGGATCAGAATTATAGTAGTTAGATTACTATAATCAGTACATATTATACATTTTATTATAAGATTTTAACGTATCACAAAAATTTATGTTTCTATACCAAATTTTTAACTTACTGAATTATTTTTTAACTCATTTTTAAAAAACAGATTATGGTTTATGCTTGCTTATATTGCGATCGAAAATTTCAATATGAGTCAGTATTCAAACGACACCAGCTGACAAACTGTTGGAAGAAAAAAAAAATAATAAAGTGAGTAAATTTAACAGAACTAATGTTTGTAATCTTTTTAAAATGGGAATATCTTTAAAATTTTATTAAATACTGTTTTTAATTTTTCTTACAGGTTTCAACTGATAATGAAATTAAAAAANATCTGATTATTGTCGCATTTAAATTAAACGCTTATAAATATATCTGAAATTATTTCACACATATCTTGTGCAGAATCGTTTGACGAATTTAATGGCGTTTTAATTTTTCGTTTCTGACTGTAACTTTTCGAGTTATTGCAATCTTAAGAGTATAGACTCGATTATCCGTGACTATCGTTGTTCCCATAAGATCTGATTATTGTCGCATTTAAATTAAACGCTTATAAATATATCTGAAATTTTTTCACATATATCTTGTGCAGAATCGTCTGACGAATCTAATGGCGTCTGACGAATCTAATAGTTTGCTAAAAATGAAGTCATTTTCTTAATTACTTTCAGTCTTTTCGAATAATTTCAATACCATATAACAGCGTAACGTAACAGGTATGTACTTGTCATTGTAACATTTGTCAGAATGAAATTTCTCATTTTTCGAATGATGGCGGCGAATTCGTTATTGTTAATAGTCTTTAAATGTTTTGATTAATACGTTCATACTCTTATTTTAATTTAGAATTAATTTTACATGTTTGCTTTACTAAAAAAAATTGGAATATATTTTTGTATTAATTTCATTACAACATTTCGTCTTATAAATCTGACAGACGTGATAATGCTTTTTGTATGTAATCAATGCTTTAACATAATTTTTAGGGCATAAATCATACTTTTGGGTGAAGTAAATACAGCATGATAAATTTATTTAATAAAACTAAACCTGATTCTGTTGTAAGAAAAATTGATTATATTATATCATAATAAAATTTTATTAAATAATTTATACAATTCTGAAAACACTAAAAGTAATTTGATCATAATACTGAAACTCCAGTTACATTTTAAGAAATAAATTTTTTTTTGTTTTAGAACACTGAAAATTTAACTAAATTTCGATAGAACAAATAATGAAAATTCGTATATAATAAATAATAATTACACGAAAATTACATTAAAGATACTGTACTAAAAAATGAAAATGGACAATTTTTATAGTTCTTTGAACAATTTCCACCCATTCTTCCTAATTTTTCTGCCTTTATATAATCGTCCATTCCATAACGTCTCGTCAAATTTGATACCCTGAAATTAAACAACAATTTCAACTTAATCAGAAATAATGAATGCTTTTTTTCATTTTTATTTTTTATTTTATTTAAAAGTTTTATTTTACTATTTTGAAAGAAGCGTTACAAAGTATTCTATCGTATGTTGCATTTCCATTCAATTTAATGGTATACTTATTTAAATTAATAAAGAATCAACTTTGAGTTGTATTTTGAGAGTTTAATTAATGTAGAAATTATCTCTGTCAAGCTATGTATCAAAAATATTCTAGTAAAATTAATAGTAGGAGCGTGAACTTTTAGTGGCCAGAGAATTTGTCATGACATTTTGCTAATAAGCTGTTTATGTTATGAATTTAAGATAAGAATGAAATTTCACAACACATGAAGAAAAATCAAATTATCTGAAAATAGCTTACACGTTTCAATAACACTTTTAGTAATACGTTATTTATTTTCGAATAAAGTGTTGCAATGAAGTGCACTAAATATAGTAATATTTACACTTACATATAAAAATAACACATCTATAATTAATGGAAAAACAAATAAATATTTCAGCCAAACGATTTCCGGATTATGTCATGCTATATTACTATTATTATTAATTAAATGCTAAGTAATTTGGCATTAGAGGCAGATATTAGACGTCATCTCTTGATAATCTGGAAATTAAATGATATAATGAAATAATTATTTCAATAAGTTAGAAGGATTTGGAAGAAAAGAATTGAGCTGAAGTGGAATTTGACACCTCTTATCATGTGATTACATCGCCAGTTACTGGACTTTTATATGATCTTTCCTTCCAGAACTTACAATACTTCTTTGGATATAACCATACTCTGTTACTTGCGGCGCAGGTTGGAGGTTCCTTCCGAAATTAACTGAATATTTATTTAGAAAATTAAATATTCATATAATTATGAAATTTAGCAAGAGATGGCGCCTATTGCCTGCCTCTAGTGCCAAATTTCTTAGCATTTAATTAATAAAAATAGAAATATACCGCGATATAATTCGCCATTCGTTTGGCATTAATATGTAAGTATCGGGTTTACGAAATTTATATTTGTACAAATAAATATTTCCGTCCGTTTGCTGATCAAATGTGAGGTTTAATTTTTTTGCCATACACCTGATAGAAAAGTGGCTGAATCTGTTTTTACCGTTGTCAGCTTATTGGCATGTTTATAATAGTTAACAAATAAATAAATTATAATTACTGCTGAGATTTGCTAAATGCTTATCTTCATTGTTACGTTGTTATGTGATGACAAACAGTTAAGAAGATTTATTTTAAACAAATTTATACTGATCACATAACTATACAACAGAAATAATACTGCTAAAAACATTATCAGCTATACAAGTAGGCATTTCCAAATTGAATCTACTCTTTGTCTTTGTATCAGAGTTAATGTAGAGGTTATTGCGCAGTCACTTATCCTCTGAAGAGCTGACCAAAGCTTTTTGCTTGACCTATCGAAATTATGCGCGAAGACACGGGGTAATACCTTCCGGGAGGTCTTTTAAGGGTAAGAAACTGCTATTTAGGCGTTACAGACATGGAAAAAACTTTACGTGGCTAACCTGTACTGACAAGGCGCAAACCCACGACCGAACTACCAACTGTTCAGGGAACAGAACTGCTGGTCACCGGTGGATCCGAATCTTCTTAATTTGAACATCTTCATTCATTGAACATCTTGGTTCAAATCTCAAGAGGGGATAACCCCTCTTCAGTAACACACGTGTCGGATTGTTTTTCGACATAAGGAGTACGGTACATCCTGACGTTCAGGCCTTCTCGTTCTAAATGCTCTCCATGCCCTTGACTTTTTAAGACAAAAATTTTAGCATCAATGCCGCTAATACACAAAGTACCAAGTAAATTTTAGAAATTTTAGACAAAAAGCACAGGAGTTATTAAACTACAAATTGGCTGAACAAAATTTTGTCGTCCACTCACACGTGCACTAACACCAATACATACAGAAAATCAACAACTTTACTTGCATTTCCTGGCGTTTAAAAGTCCACGAGCTCAAAAATGTAGAAATGTTGGTTAAACATTTTTTGTTCGGTGATCGCCATACTTTTCATCTAAATACCGTATTTACTCGCATATAAGACGATGTTTTTATCGATTTTTCATTGCTTCAAAAACGTAGGTCGTCCTATACGCGCGAGCGAAGGATTCTTTTTGTTTTTGTATAACTTTTGGAAACTATGTATTCGCATATTTTGCCGGATTCTCATCTTCTGCTGATTTTAATTAAAAGCAAAAGTATTTTATCTGGGTCGTTTGACTCGTTTGTGTATATTGCCAGGAATAAAGATGAATAGCAATAGGAAAAGCAAAGCTTTTGAATTGAATTCCTAAATTACACGGGTGCCCGATATAAGTTTTAGTCCATTCCCACCTGAAAACAGATGACTATTCGGAAATTCGAAGAAACTCAAAAGTGTAATGGATGAAGAGTGAATTCGACTGTTAAAATTTGGCAAGAAAGGTTCCCGATTGTCCAGCTTTACGTAAACAAATTATGTTGTCGATTTTACAAGATTTTTCCTTAAGTTTAAGATGCCAGTAATTTTTGCGGGACAATGTGTGCATTTACGTTCATTTTATATTTTATTTGTTACTAGCTGCAAGGACCCGCTTCGTTGGGTTTTTATTTGTGGGCAAAAATAACAATAGTGAAGATTAAAATTATAGCTAATCTTACCCATTTTCACAGAATGCAAGAATTAGGTCCCCAGTTTCCAGACTAATTAGAAAATTTTTACGTCCAGTCAAACGAACTATTTTCAATTTGATCAATTTTCTGGAACGTTTACAATCGATCTATAATCGAATCAATTTGAATTCGAATACGAATTCGAATTCGAAAATTTTTAAAATCGAAATAGAAAATCTTCGAAGTCAACCACTTTAAACCCCATATCTCCCGCACCCTTATAGCTATCGAGACGCAACCACCATACTGCACGAATGGAGACTTGGGTCTACTACCACATACAAACACCATTCATGTGCGATATGTAGTTTTGGCGGAAAAGTGAAACACACACGTCCATTTATATATATATATAGATATAGATATAGATTAAACGAAATAAAATTAGAAGTGTATTAATAAATCTGATTTTCTTTATTTTGATCTTTAAAGTCACACCTCGTCCTATATGCGAGATCGTCTTATATTTGAGTAAATACGGTATATAAAATTACATGTCCTGACCGACTGGGTGATTGATTCATTATCGCCCAGAGCAAACCGCTGAGCCTAAAGAGGTAAAATATGGTACACAGGGTTCGTCATGAAAATGCACACTAAGACGTGTTTTTTATAGTGGGCGTTCGTTACAAATTTCCATGAGACACGGTTCCTTTGACTTTTTTTCCTATCAATATGCTCTACAGCTCTGTTAAAGTCCCAATCGCGTCATACGGATCTACATTTCTACTTATTAAACATTCTATAAAACTTTAAAATAGTTTAATTTGCTTATTTACCTTTGCTTGTAAACCTCGATTTTAAATTTATCCGCCATTTTTTCAACAAATTTCCCGTGAGTCAATGCGCGACGTTCACTGACTTGTGAGTCACGGGATGTTGTAAACGTGCGGCGCAAGGTTAATCGAGGCATATAATAATTATTTATACCATTCCGTGGTATAAATAATAAATTCCTATTACAAATAAAAATAATTTATTATTAATTTAAAATTATTACTAGGGCGCCCCTAGTGGGCGTTTTAGGCATACCGTTACAGACGGGACACGACAATGGCTTATCTATATCTATAATCGAGACGAGTTGATAATAATAATAAGCGCAGAGCCCAAACGGTTAGGAGTTCAGAGCTGAAATTTGGCACACAGTTAGGGTACGTCATGAAAACGCACACTAAGAAGGGATTTTTTGAAATTCCCCCCGGGGAGAGAGACACGATTATGCTTAACACTTCCATCAACAATAGAAGTGTTAAGTAACAATGGAAGTGTCAACAGTGGAAGTGTTACGTATCAATGGAATTGTTAAGAAAAAGCGAGGGTTTTAAGAGAAAGTGCAGATTTTTTTTCGTTTTTCGCAGGAAATCGAAGATATTTTTAGACCCATGTAAAAATTTTCTAATTAGTCTGGAAACGGGGATCCAATTCGTGCATTCTGTGAAAACGGGTAAGGTTGACTATAACGTAATAATCTTAATCTTCGCTATATATATATATATGGACGTGTGTGTCCCTATATTTCACTTTTTAGCCAAAACTACACATCGCACATGAATGGTGTTTGTATGTGGTAGTAGCCCCAAGTCTCCATTCGTGCAGTATGGTGGTTGCGTCTCGATAGCTATAAGGGTGCGGGAGATATGGGGTTTAAAGTGGTTGGCTTCGAAGATTTTCTATTTCGATTTTAAAAATGTTCGAACCGTTTTAAATTCGAATTTGTATTCGAATTCGAATTCGAATTTAAATTCAAATTGGTTCGATTAAAGGACAATTGTAAACGTTCCAGAAAATTGATCAAATTGAAAATAGTTCGTTTGACTGAACGTAAAAATTCTGTAATTAGTCTGGAAACAGTGGGACCTAATTCTTGCATTCTGTGAAAACGGATAAGATTGGCTATAATATAATCTTAATCTTAAATGTTTTGGAATAGTCGAGGATTGTTATGTGTGAGTAGTGAGTAGGCTTTTGGAGACGTGTGACGCACATTCTTCAGTTGGCATTTTATAAGTAAAAGTGTATGAATAACAGAAAAAAGTAGAAAGTGAAAAGTGAATAGTGGAGTGCGAAAAGTAAAAATAAAAAAAAACAATTCCAAAGCGTAAGAAAGAATTTTTGCGGTCTCGAATCATATCTCTAAGGCAAAAGATGGCGCGGAGAAATGAAACCACGGAAGAAAGAGAAGTACGTCTAACACTGCTACAAGAAAATTATCAAAGAAACAGAATTAATCAGACATAAGAGCAACTTGAAAATTATACGAAAATACATC